TTGTCATCACAGCCTAGGAGGACTCGTCTAAGGTGAGCCTCCGCGCAACGGTCGAATTGAAGCGTTCGTAGAACGTCGAACGATGTCGCGACTATCGAGTTGAATCGAAGATATTCGTACAAGGGATGGTCTGGAACATAGGAGAAAATCAAACATATCGCGTAACGTGAGAGCAGGAATGGAGAGAAGAAAGTACGTATCGTGTTGTAACAGTAATAAAAGGGAAGAACCTCTATTCGTCGCGTTCTTCGGCTTCTTCGACTTCATCATCGTCGTCGTCGCCTAGAGAATTCGATAGTTCGAGTTCTCGAAGACGCTCGGTCGAGACATCTTCGAGATCTTCGGGGATTGGAATGGATTTGCGCGCGAAATACGGAATGACGCGGAATGCTGCGATGGGTCGATCGAGGACTGTACCGTCGAGTTCGCACACGATGTACGCGCCGCCCTTGTTGCGCGAGACAACGATGAGGGGGCCTAGATATCGTGGGCGCATCTTGCGGTTGAGGGACTTCTCGATCTTCGTGTTGCATATGAGCACTAGGGCTCCGCGCTTGAAGTCGAAATCCTGGATTGAGTGCTCGTGCTCTTTCTCGAAGCGAATTGCTGCAGTTCGACGTGCTTCGTAGACCTTCGAGTGGAGTTCGGTGACTTGCTCGACGCGTTTCTGAAGCGCAATGGCCCTACGGGCAATGAGATCGGTTGTCGAAAGAATCGAAGTTGGTGGCGGTTGCAGGTACGTAGCTTCGATGATGTCGAGAGGAATGAGTGGATGGGTGCCCGTAACAGCGAAATAGGGTGAGCAGCCCATGCGTCGTCGAGTTGTGATGCGCTCGGACCAAAATACAAAATACGCAGCTTGGGACCATTTCTTCTCATCTCCGTCGGCTGTCTTAAACAAGGCTTGTCGCGTGCTGAAATGCGGACGTTCGACGAGACCGTTCGCCCTCGAATTGTACCCACTGATTCGAATATGGTTGATGTGGTACTTCTTCGAAAGGTAATCGGCCGCCTTGATGAAAGCCGTACCGTTGTCGGTGACGATCTCGCTGAGCGCGCCCCATCGACAGAGGACGTCTTCGAAGATCCAGTCGGCGAGGGCCTTTGCTGTCTCTTTTCGAAGCATTCGAAACTCGGGGTAAGTCGTGAGCGAGCATCTACCTTGGACCAAGTACTTGTATCCGCCCGAGGCCGGCATGTGCATTGTGTCGATGTGAATTTTCGCGAAGATGGGGGCTGGTACTGCGACGGTCGGAGGAATGAGGATTTGACGCACTTGTCGAGACTGGCAGATATGACACGATCGAACGAACCAAGTGATGTCGGCGTAGTGGAACGGCCACCAGAATCGCTCATTGACAAAGGCTCGGGTTGCGTAGATTCCTCGATGCGCGGTGCGGTCGTGGCATTCTCGAAGTATTCGAAGGCGATCGCCGGGCTTGACGACTAGCTTGTGTGCTCCGTGACTGTCCTTGCGCCAGAGGGTGTCGTTGTCGAGGAAGAATTGCATGCAGTACTTGATGAATCCTTCGTAAACGCTTTCGGAGATGTTGTCGGGCTTTGCTAACGTTCGATGAAATTCGAGCACGTCGTCGAGCTTTGCATCTGCGAGTTGCGCTTGCTCCGATCGAGGCACTAGCTTGTAGCTATCCTCCTCCCTATTGAAATCTGAGCCGTCCTCGGCTCTGTCATTGGTGAAGATGGCTAGCAACTGTACGGACGGGAGGGGCTGAATCTGGTGAACGAAAGAATGCATCTGGTCGATCCAATCGTCGAACTCTTCGTCGACCTCATCTTCGATGACATCACCGGGCTGAGCTGTGCGTCGAGAGAGGCCATCGGGGCCGTGCATTGTACCGGGGACGTGGACGAGCGTGAAATGGAATGTGAGAATCGAGACAATCCACCGGTTAATACTCGCGCTTGGGGCTATGTCCGGATTCTTCAGCATACCTTTGATGTACCGAGCATCGACTTCGACGATGAGGTTACGGACGCCGATCAGGTAGAGTCGAAGGGATCGTAGTGCGCGGAATAGGCCGTAAATCTCGAGCTTCGGCTGCGA